CCGGGCGGCGTGGTCCCGTGGGTTAGATGCGCGTTCATAATGCCGAGGAAAATAACTCTCAGAATAACGTTATTAGCACATTTTACAACTTGAGGACCGAATGTTTTTAATAAGGGCTATACAAATGTTCATACTGGGTAGTTTATTTAGTTATTTAAAAATTATCCAACGATTTACAGACGTCTCTTTCCCAATGTTAGTCGATTGGGAAAAAGTCTTTCCGGGCCCAGCGACTGATACGGAAGTGTAGTACCGCCGTTTGGCCACAACGAATATTTTCCTCAGAGTCCGGCGCACTTCCTGGGGTCTTGGCATGGCTGTGCATAGAGGGAAAATACCCGGGGCCTTTCTCATTTCTCTAATTTCCCCTCCTCGACTCCTCAAATCCTCGGTCCTCCGGTAGAGACCCGGAAAATTGTGTGGTGGTCAATGTAATAACGTAACCAGATGAGTGATTACAGCGCCCGGTATCATTTTACACACATTTTTATCATACAGATGCACGACTTACACACGCCTGTTGTCTAACCGACAGGTCCGCACGCACTCTCCAGCCGAAACTCTAATAAGCATTCATTCACAAACTAAGGAGACCTTTAACGTTTTACGTCCGATTCGCTCCTTTTTTCCTCGCTGTACACAGCTCCAGTTTGGGCATTGGCCTGTCATCAGATTTCATTTTTAGTTGCTGCTGTAGCGGAAGTTTAGTACAATTATTTTTTATTAAATACTCCAAATCTCCACCCTCCATAATTGCACTTGCTTCAGTTGCTTGCTACTTTCTAACGGCGGTGAGAGTGGTGCAGTGACGCTATCTATCTATCGATTCGAAAATTTGAAAAGTAGGGTAGACATGTGGATATTATCCGGCTGAACAAAACGTGCATTTATCTAACAGGTTCGTTTTCCACAGACCTTATTTCGAGCTATTTTCCAAAACCCTATGGAGAAATCCCATTGCTTTTTTGTCGAGGGAACCCGAGCGCAGCTTACTTCCGGGTTTTAGGACGCGTCACTGCACAACTAAGTTGATGCGATTTGATTGGATTGTGAGGCAAGGGAAGCCAGCCGCCTCTGGCTTCCCTTGGCATGGCCCTGACTAATCACAGGTTGGCAGGGGCATGACGTGAGCCTCGTTTTTTTTCACCAAGGGAAGCCAATTTCGGCTGGCCTTCTCTCGCAACAGTGAGTGCAATCTACTGTTTTACCATAACATCTAGAGGGGCGCTGTTTCACTCTTTGTAAAATGCGCGTTCACACCGGAGTACTTTTACCCCGTACTTTTCCCGTTTAGTTCCGTTAGTACCCCTGATGTCGCGTTCACACCAAAAAGAGTACTTAGTGCCGGGAACTTTTACCCCCATTTTCAGTGCCTGCTAGAGAGGTGGTACCAAAAAAGTACCAATTTCTATTGGCTGGGCGAATTGCAAACCACGCCCCGTAAAACTCCCAAAAAGTTTTGTGAAGCCGCCATTTTATTATCCTCGCATTAGCATTATTAGCATTAGCATTAGCCCAGCGCAGAAACGGAGAGAGACTAACTTATGGCAACACAAAAGAAAACATGGGAGCGGTGGAGATGAGGAGGTGTCGGCGTTCTGGCGATTTACTCTGAAGGCTTCAGTAGAAGCTGCTGGGAGTCCCAGTCCCCAACTCCGGGGACTTCGGGTGGCAGTATACGCCGTGAAGTTGTTTGTGGCCTGCCAGTAAACCCAAAGCAGAAAAGACGAAGTGACATCAGCGGCTCATTTGCGTAATCTTCCCTCAGGGAAAAGTACTCCGGTGTGAACGCGATTGGTACTTAGCAGTGACGTGCGGTGAGGTTCATGGCTGGTGAGGCACTGACTCACTGAGTCAGATTTACAAATATTATATTTGGACCTTAAAGGTGGGGTAGGTAAGTTTGAGAAACCGGCTCGAGATCGCAAGAATTTGAAAATACACAACCGGAAAAAATCTGCCACTTCCTGACAGAGCCCCTCCTCCAACACACACGAACGCGCACATGACCAATGAGGGCACGAGATAAGTTTGTGCACAGATGGAAGGCTGACAGGCAGGTAGGACATCCAGTTATTTTAGCCGGGCCGGCTAAAATGATTGGTCGTGCTTTTTACAGTACTACGGCTTCCACAGATGACATTTTTGTATGGATTTTTTGTCAAAGCACTTAAGATATTCATTGCTATCGGGATGTTAAGAGCATTCCATGGAATATAACAAAAAGTGTATCTCGAGCCGGTTTCTCAAACTTACCTACCCAACCTTTAATCGAAATATTCGGTTATTTTCAAAAGCTTTTTTAGTCTGATGCTTCGATTCATTTTAAACAGACCGTTCAACAAAAGGATACCCAAAATCTAAATATTGGATTGTTCTTTCTTAGTAAGATACCATTTTCATTACAAATGTGGTCTTACCTTGACTTGAAGATGAAGTCCATGCTATCCTTCTGGACAACAATCTCTATTACTTTTTTGTAAAAGTCCTCCTTATCTTCCTGTAGTTTCAAAAGTCTAGTTTGTTGTTACGTCTACCGTCTCTGCGTAGAATTACAGTAGCAACAAGAACCTGTGGGCTCACGTGCGCCCCCTTCAGAGGTTATGGCTGCCTCCCCTGGTGCTTTTTTCATTGCCGTTGAGACCAGCGAGCCTAAATATCATATATACGTGAAATAAGTTATTTCGAGACTATGGATGGCGAGGATAAATGTAATAAAGGGATCTACAAACATTACATTGGTGACCTACAGTGAGATGGTAAGAGCCATGCGCTTAGGGCCTGCTTTCCAGCCAGTTTCTGTGGGGTGACGCATTCTGAGGTGAGGCAGATCTCATCTGTGCCTCACCTTACCCCACAGTAACTGGCTTGAGCGCGCTCACAAAATAAGTGCCCGCACTAAATTAGTGCCCGTGCTCCAGCAAGTTACTGTGGGTTTACGAGAGGCAGAGCACGTCCCTGCCTCACTTCTCATCGCTCCCGTAGCGGAGCTCGGCAAATTTGCTGATTTTGACTATAAAAAGCGATTGGAATCATACATAAATCACACTTACAACACAGATCAGTGGAGACATTTTATTATTATTACTATTTCGTTTTTCTTTAGTTGTTTTTCCGTTACATTGGAGTATGACAGGTGAGGCTCTGCCTCCCCTGACTGCACGTCGCTGGTACTTATGGCGCGTTTCCACTACAGCGCGGAGCACGGTTTAAGAGGGCTGTGACGTCAGCGGCCCGTCTTTGGTTGCGTTTCCACTTGGCCTAGTACCGGCCGGCGGGTCCTAATTCACAGTTTTTCTGGCCTCATAAAATCGTGGGTCTAGGGCCAGAGACAACGAGGCTGAGTCGGGCTGAGTATGCTAAACTAGAGAGAGCATCGCTGGCAAGGGGGCTACAACTACAACAAGATGGACATATTTGACCGTGATTTAATTGTAATACACGTTTCAAAATGATGCCGAAGTAACAACATACTGATACCGGTTAGTAAAAACCATGAATTAATGCTTTGACAAGTCTGCAGACAGACGGCAGGCGAAAAACCTTTTAAAATGCGTGTTTTCTAAATGGAGATTGGCTAAGCTAACGCAGTATATGCTCCGACCGTCCACACTCACAACAACGGCCTATACAGACATAAATAAAGCAGCGACTGTATTCGCCATGACACAGGCAGTCTGTGGTTTGTACTTGTTTAACTTTTGTCTAGTTTCTGAACATATATGAGGAGCTGTGAGTGCTAACAGCTAACGGCTGTGTTGTTTTTCTGGGGTTCTCATTGAAGATGACGTCACGGCTCCGCCTACACTGCGTTACTATAGATACTACCCCAGTTCCTAAACTGCAATGGAAATGCGCCATAAAGTGAGCCAGTCCTAACGAGGCCTAGCCATACCGAGCGGGGCCGTGTAGTGGAAACGCGCCATTAGTGCCCTGGGGTAATAAGTGCCGGGGCACTAAGTGCCGGCACTAAGTACGGCAAAGTACTTGGTGTGAAAGCGGCTATTGAGAATGGGGGAGAGATGGGCCGGCAGCAACACACAGCAAAGAATAATTTCCGAAACAAAACGAAGTGTTTTTATTTATTTATTAAAATTATAACTATAATCCGAAAAAACAGGGGAAGCCTGGCTTCCCTTGGCCTCCAGGAGAAAACGCCACTGTGTATAATCACTCAGTACAGGCCTACATTACTCTCTGTATTTGCTTTAGTTTAGTAGATATCTACAAACAAAGAGTCGATATTTGTCTAAAACCATTTAGTGCTTCACATAATAAAATACACAATGGCTGTAGCCTGATATTATATGCTTTAGGAGCTGTAGGTGCGTGTGGTAGTGTGTAGGTGTACGTGCGTAGATGCGGCGGACAGACAGGTCTCAGTTGGTTTGGTGTCCTATGCTTACTTTTAATACTTGTAAATACAACTTTTGGCCCGTAATTTCCTTTCCTCCTTGTAGCGACCAGAGAGGGGGGGGGATATATCCAGTCTCTGATAGTGTTACGTTATTATTATGCTGTGAGTGCTCTCATACTTGTTTGATTCTGAAATGGTATATATATATTTATATATATATATATATATATATATATATATTTATATATATATATGTATATATATGTGTGTGTATGTCCGCATCTGTAGCCTGTTATTGTCTCATTATACCGCACTGTGAATGAATTCAAAGTAAATATATAAGTCGTCATGAACACAGTTCTGTCCATCAGACAGAGGGCTGTGCCTCCTGTCATCATTAATGGACGTCTCTTTAAAATGACCGCTCAGAGGAGAGGATTTCTCATTTCTCTAACCGCCTGCTGCTTCCCCTCCTCTCTCCTCGGCTCCTCCGCTCGCATCTCCTGTGGGCGGGACTAAAACACGAGGGTAGGAGTCGAGGATAGGAGTCGAGGAGGGGAAATGAGTGAAATGAGAAAGGCCCCCGGATGCGTTGCTTTTGTCTGTCAGACAACGCCGAGGGCACAGGCGCACACGGTGGCCTCTCGCTCGCTTCTGGAACCTACACATTGTTAAAGCCGCTGGATAACGCTCATGAATCACCACTTTGTTTATCTGGAGCTCGTAAGGAATAGATCCCGCTGAGCGTCTTCATCCCTCCACAGCATCTCTTTCTTCCGCAGCACCTGAACACAGCGGTGAGTTCACGGAGCGTCACTAAGCTGCTCATCATTTGTTGACATTTTTCACATTCAGCGCCATTTGCAGACAGGTACACCTTCTTTCGCCACTGTTATTGTTCCCGTTTCAAACGCACTGGTTTTTATTCCGAAATAAGGGAAGCAAGGGATCTTTTTTCGAACATTCATCTAATAATTATATTGCGGATTTGCATGTAATGCGTATGGCAGAGAGCAGATGTGATGCTTAGTAAACAGCGGCGCTTTTTTATAGTTTTCTAATGGAAGGAGTGCATTGGAAATATTCATTGTAATACGGTTGGACATGATTTGGTGTATTAGTCATCACTATGATCGTGGCTCTCTCGTGGAATGTGATGAAGCAGTGATGGAGTCCTCTGTTATTCCAGCAGCACATCATCATGGAGACTGTTGACTGTACAGCTCAATCAATGCGGGGCATCTTTCCATCCATATTGCAATAGTATAAATAGGCTCTGCATTTCCTATAAACTAGTACTTAATTATTAATGCAAATGAAAAGTAACTGTCAAAAACTGTTTTATTCCCAACTATATTTACAATAATTGGCCTACACAAATCTCTAGTGTTTTAGTCTGACTGATTGAACCCATTACTGGATTTATTAGTAAAAATTCAAAAAGCCACACTTTTTTTTTTTTAAATGAGAGGCATGTTGGAGTCAGAAGGGAAAGGAGAATACTCTTACTATCTACCTAGTCACGCTATGGGCCACAGAGCTGTGTGCCTAAGTTACCACTTCGGTTCACACTGTTTAAAGTTTTTACACCTCGGTTCAGAGTGACCATAGCTTGCTTTGTTTTTATTCTGGGGACCTGATGAAGCTGGTGCTCAGACTGCACTGCACTTTGTCTCAGTTCTGTAATTTCTATAGAAAGAAGGACAGTTAGCTCCATTGCTTCACTCCAGGAGTTGCAAAGGGAATAGTTTTTTCTTCTTGTGTCTTGTTTTATGAAAGTGCTATTGGCTCATGTTCGTAAATGTCACACATCTTTGTCAGATTAGGGCAGTGGTTCTCAAACTTTTTCTGTCAGGCCCCCCCTTTGGAGAAAAAAAAAACACAACACAAATAGTCACGTAATGGGCCAAGTTAACATTTATTAAAATACATCAATATGAACGTGAGCATTCCTTTGCTAGAACAGTGATAATAAAACAATGCTCCATAAGTCTGTTTGGTCAAACAAATAAATACATAATACAATTGTGCAATCCCTTTGCTCGAACAATAAGTTATAATACTTTGCCACTTTGCAATCTGTGCAAAAAAATGAAAAGAAAGAAAATGCTGATATTTGGCAAAAAAGTGTGTCTTATCACAGGTGGCTGCAATGAGCCTGCACTGCACATTTCTTCAAAACGGGGTTGCAGGCTCAGTGGCGGCGCCAGAGATTTCTTTTGGGGGTGCTGTGGGGTAGCTTGACTTAGATTTTTTTTAAATATAAAAACATGGTCTCTCGCACCCCCCCCGTCATGTCTCTGCGCCCCCCACTTTGAGAAACACTGGATTAGGGTCATGACTGAACATAAACCTGTGTTTCTATTCCACTACAATGGATTTTTTGTTAACATGTTTTGAACATGGATATGTCGGTCCAATAATTGTCATACAGGGAGCCTTCCACTGTGTTGTTTTTACTCTATTTTAACTCAGTTTGATTTAATTTCCCCAAAATCATCTTATGTATCTCTGTTTGACACTATTAAATGCAGGTGATTGTTGTTTTGCAGCAACATTTAGTCTCCATGGCAGATATCATAAAAAAGTAAGTTAATTTAATATAAAAGTCTTCTTTATCACTTAAAGTGGACCTATCATGCTATTTTTAGGCAATAGCATAGGTCTCAGATATATCAAAAATATATTAAAAATATGTCTATGAAGTGTTTTGCTCAAAATACCAAACAGATCACCCATTCTAGCAATGCCTCATATCCCTCTATTTCACTTCCTGTTTCAAAAGTGCTGATTTTGGGTATAAAGCTTTAAAAAAAAAAAAGAGGAGGGGGCTGAGCTCATGCGGGAGATTCTACTGGCAGATTCTGCCGTGATGAAACGCCATATCATGGATTATCAAGGATTGTTTCTGAAACAGTATGGAGCTCAAAGGCTTTCTCTCTTGCCGGTTATACCACAAGGTGAGTTCCTTTTTATTTCCTGCTTCTTCACACACATGCTCTGTGCAGTACAGGTTAGCTCTGAGTGTTAGCGATGCTAATGTAAACATGCACCGATCATATTACGTCCAAAACAGTCGGGCATTGTTTCTGATAGCAACGTTTCTGATAGGGCCGTGGGTGTAAAGCCAGCCTACATTTCCGATATTACATCATATCGGACGCAAATCTGGATCAGCTCCGTTGTAGCCCCGTTTTTAGAGATTTGGGTACAGAGGAAAAGAGAGGGTTTTATTTGGCAACGAAATTTAAAGTGGACGTATCATGCTATATTTAAATGATATATTGTAGGGCCATACAATATAAGGTATATTTATACGTTTCTGTTTTCAAAATACCAAACAGATCATGCATTTTAGCCATGCCTAATTTGCTGTTTGCTGTCTACGGGTCTGATTCTGCTGACCACGCCCCCCTGCAGGAGAGGTGAGCCGTGCTCTGATCAGCTGCTGGGCTGTCAGAAGAGGGGGAGAAAAAGAGATCTCCGTCCTCCGTGTTTTATTATATAGAGTCGTTATTCATTTGTTTTAAAGCTCAATAAATAACAAAGAAGACCTTTGACCGGCACTTTTCTAATTTTGTCCGGAAGATTTAAACTTTAACGGACATCTTGACCGGCGAAAGAAAACCTAACTGAAACTCTGCCGCACGGTCCCCTCGTTCCTTGGAAGAGGCGGAGAGGTGGGTGTTTGTCATCTGCCGGTGGACTAACCGGAGAGAATTACAGTGCTTGCCTCGACGGGGAGGGATTGCATTGAATTAAAGCAGCGGGAGCAAACGCTTGCCTCGGGGAGGGAGAAAAAAAGCCACAGCGGAGAATAAACAGAAGGGTAACCATGGTAACTATGGGCGGGAAGTCTTCTTCGCTGCGGCACCTTTTTTTGCTCCCGATCCGATTCCGATCATTTGATTTTGAGAATCTGCCAATACCGATTTTTCCCGATCCGATCTTTATGCAATGCATTAAGAGAAAAAAAAGGAGAAAAGCATTCAAGTTGTCCCTTAAACCCCACGTTCTCCACCACAGATAACGGCTGGTCATCCAACGCGATGAATTCAGCTATCTTGGCTGTTATTTTTTTGGCCTTTTCACTGTTCTGGGGCAGTTTCTCTTTCCTTTTAAAAGTCTCTGAAAGTGTCAGTTGTTTCAGTGCCGTTACCTGAGTGGCCGCTGTGTACTCGTCGTGTTGTTGTTGGTGTTTGTTTCTCAGGTGGCGTATTAGATTGGTCGTGTTGAACGTAGCTCTGTTCTTTCCACCACGCGGAACCTCCGCCTTGCAAACATTGCATCTGGCTGTTACACTGCCTTCGCTTTCAATTTTATAATACTTCCAAACTCCTGACATTTTCTCTGTCCCGACTCCCGAGGCACCAGCTGAACGTAGCCTCTTGTTAGCTTACTGCTACTATTAGACACTGCGCCCTGCCCACTCTGTTGCCAGATTTGAGAGAAATAAGCAACCAGGTCTATGAAAACAAGCCCAAAAGAAGCAACACATACATGATGTTGTGTAATTTTAAACCAAAACTAAGGCCTCAGGATGACTTTAAGACGTGAACATGGTCATTTTTGTTTTGTAACATTAAATAAAATAAAAATATTTTATTAAAAAAAAAATTCCGATCCCCGATTTTTTTCTCCCGATTCCGATCTTTTGAAAATCACGTGATCGGCTCCGATCCCCGATCACGTGATCGGATCATCTCTATCAATAAGATGTCTTTTACTTAAAGTGGACCTATCATGCTATATTTGAATAATATAGTGTAGGACCATACCTATATAAGGCATATTTATACTTTTTTGTTTTCAAAATACCAAACAGATCATGCATTTTAGCCATGCCTCATTTTGCTCAATTTGACAATTTCTAGCTCTGTTTTTGCAAGGGCTGATTCTGTGAGAACAGCACCATCTACTGGCCTGGCATATGTATTACAGCGTCTCCAGCGCTTTCGAACGGCAATGGCCGTGGCTGTCTCCTCCTGATTGGTGGAGTTGGCCCAATAGCCGTAGCGCCACCGTCCTGACGTCAGGACAGTGTTCAAATCTGGATCAGTTTTTATCAGATCCGTTGCAGCCCCTTTTTTAGAGATTTGGGTATGGAGGAAAATAGAGAGGGTTGTGTTTTCTGACACTTGGTGAGTTCCCTGGAAGACCGGGGACACATATTCATGTATAAAAGACGTACAAAAGTGCATTTTGCATGATAGGTCCCCTTTAAGTGTATGCAAGACAACAGACCAATGAGAATTTAGAAAAAAGAAGAAACCAAGATATTTAGCATCAGAAATGTGTCATATTAATTAGGCCTACAGAGTAGTATAGTACCAGTAATCTGATTACGTCTTTTTTTATGTCACTGTGAGGGATTACAGTTACCTTCTTTTTGTATCTTGTTAACGTAATCCCATTCCATGTAATCTGTTACTACCCAAGCCTGATTATCAGGAAAAACTATCTGCAGCATTGGTTGGAACTTGCTCCTTTGACATATTATAATTATTGCGACTCTTCCACATGTATTCCTCTCAGTGTTCATGACATGCATCATGTGTGTGTGTCCGCTGAAGTAAGGCGCACACAGAACTAATGTGAGCACAGATGTCAGCCTGACGGGCCGTCTCCACAGCAGCGTTAAAAAAATCTTGGAGGTGGGCGTATCTGAAGCTTGAGGATTTTTTGCGAGCAACCAATCACATGAATCTCCCGCCCGGGACATACGAAGCAAAAAAGCCTGAAGTAAACTGGATATAAACTCCCCAAAACAGGCGAAAACCTACCACTGTCTCTGCCA